AGTATTTTAAACTGTATAAAAAAAATTGAAATCAATTGTGAAAATCCATTCCTTATATAGGACGTTCCCTCCTGTTTGATTCACCATGATTATGGAATTAAAGCAATCCTGTTGAAAAAAAAAAATCATATACAATAAGTAAATATTTTAGAAAAACATTGAAAGATGGTGGAAGGGAAAAAAAAACTGTAATTAAAATTTTGGAACATGAGAACCATCTTTTATATTATAATTATAATCAAATACCAACAATTAATAAATTAGATTACCTTTTTACAATTGATTGTATATATATATTTTTAATTTCTAAAATATATTTTAATTAATTAATTATTTTCATTATTAAAAATATTAAATTAATAAAAAAAAAATTTAAACTTTTGTCATCTTAATTTTCAACTTCAACAAATAAAAATGTCTAACAGGTGAATATCTTTAAGTGTTGTCTTTAAAAACACTTAAGAATATACCCTCATCACATGGAAAGGTTAATGATTTTTCCTTAAACTTTATGATGAAATGTCATTAAAAATTAATGATCCTTTAAATTATGAAAAACAATATTCAGAAGGTGAGAACATTTAAAGTATACTTGTGAAAATTGGAATGTTTTGTGCTTCATGTTGATTTAAACCATTCTTTTGAGTTATATAAATTGTTGCATATGTCTGAGTTACTACTATGTTCAATATTCATTACTACAATATAAAATTTTTAAAAAAAATTAGCAAATTACAAAATTACAAAATAAAATTTCCTTCAACTAACTACTTGCAATCCTACAAGATCCTACTGTGAGATTGTAAACCGTGGACCAACCAATTGCCCATTAATATTGACCAATTAGAACGAACTTACTACGGAAGTCATGTGGTGTGCTAAATATTACATCATGATTAATGACCATCTTTCTATATTTATTGTACTGGTTGCGCCACACATTACGCCATTTTACACACATAGATCATTACATCTTTTCTACAGTGTGTAATGAAAAAGA